TTTTATTTACGCTTCAACATCTAAAAACTCATAAAAGATTCCCAATCAGAAATTTCCTTTGAAATCAGAACTCAATTTTGGGAACTAATTTGATAAAATTTGTGGTTTCCAAACATCAAAACCAAACTGATTTTTGGCTAAATGCACTCTCTTTTTCTCCCTTAAAAATGAAACCGCAAAAATATACAAATATTTCCAGCATTTATTTAGCTCTGCGCGTAATTTGTTTATTTTACCTGTTAACCAATTTATTTCTGATAAATTGTTTATATGCCGTTGGTGAATACAAGTCTGGGTCTGGTATCCGTTCCTGCGGCGGTTTTGTTTACACATTTTAAATGAGTTTCATGTATTTTAAGTTCAATCAACTTTGCACCGCAGCCGAAAAAGCCAAAAACAGCCACCGCAACAATTGATTAATTAATGAATTATTTATTGAACATGCAGCAATCAAAGATGTGTTTTTGCACATTCTTCGTCTTTGCATTAGTCAACCATTGATTGGGAAATTTTGAAAAAAGCAAAGCAAATAAACGAGTTTCTTTTGCAAAAATTAATATTTTAGAATTGTTTCTTTTATTTTTGTCTAAGCGATTAAATAATTTTTTATTTCTAAACAAAACATTTTAATTGGAAGTGAATTGTTTTTCCAAAATTTTATGATCTAGGGCAGTGTTTCCCAAACTTTTCGGGACCGCGACCCACCTACACAAAAAATTGCAAGATCTATATGACAATTAGTAGCCACCAAAAACACCCGGACCCACCAGTGGGTCGCGACCCACACTTTGGGAAATACTGATCTAGGGGAATCCACACATAAGACTTGTTTATGAACAATAAAAAAATAGACAAAACACTTTAAGCATTGAAAACAAATAGAACTAAGCTCAAAATGACAATTGTTTTTGAAAATCTAATTTATGTTATAGACTTTTTTTAATTTTATATGACGTGGCTTAAAAGATTTTTAAAAATTTTAGATGCCTAAGGCAGGATTTTTTACTCTATTAATTTATTAAAAGCTTTTGTATTTAGACCTGAAAACTGTAAAAGGCTTGTCAAAAATAAATTGTGATCATTTGCTGAGATTGTAACAAAAAGCCATGGAATATATATACATGCTTTGTTTATTCATATGAATATTGAGATACTTGTACATGTATTTGCTTTTCTGTAGCAAATCTAAACATTTGCACTTCTCACACTTGTTAGAATCCAAACAAGATGCAGCCGGCGAACGGAGATAGAAAAAATAAGAGAGGCGAGCGAGAAAAGCTGGATGGTTTATCGCAGAAGCTCGAGTAGCTCCTCCACAATGCACTTGAATGCCCTTCACGAGAGCCACCCCTTCCAACCACCCAACCCTTTTCCCCCCTCCCCCCTCCCCCCTTTCCAGCACTCCCCTTAACCACGCCCCTCGCCCTTTGTCACACTTTTCGCTTGAACTGTGTCAATGGCCTTGAAATTGTTTTGCGCCTCAGTTGTTGCTGCAGCTACGAGATTAGTGGAATTATTGCACTCGCTTAGATCTCAGAAGGCCCATGAGGAAATGCCTGCATACTGCACACAGCTCACACAATTCTTCATCAGTTTTTCAAATACTGTAGAGCGTTTTGCGAAAATCGCTAAACTAAAAGCAGTTTTATCAAAAAAATAAAATAAGTATACCTAAATGGACTGCGAAACATACGATGCTTAGTAGTATTTAATCAAATAAAACTTGTTCATTTCTGTTACATTATTAAAAATCCTTTTAATTTAATATATACATTGTAATAGTGAAAAGAAAATATGAAAGTAAGACAAAAACATTCCAGATTACTTATTTTAGAAATAGAGTTATTTTTAATTACAGCTTAAACCCCCATACTTTCATTACATTTTACTTTCTTAGAATAATTTCTGAATGAATTTAACATCAATAGTGAAAGATTGTTTTCATTTATATCTTCTTTCTTCCCTCAAAAGCAGGAAATGCTCGCGTTTCGATTCTTTCCACTATTTCCTCTTCGACTTCTCTGTGTGGTTTCCCATTGTCAGTTCTCTGGGGCCAAGTGAATTTTTTTATGGTTGCGGGACAGGAAAAGATTGCGCCACAAGGTCAGCTAAAGTAAACCGCATTATTGTTTTTTGCTGTTGTTGTTGTTGTGTTTTTTCTTTCAACTAATTTACAACTGAGATGATGCGCAGAGATCCCAGCTAACGATAATGATTTTCTAGGTTTTCTGACGCCATATTATGCTAATGTAAAAAATATTAGTGTAGGAAAGTTTTAAGTGGGCTGTAAAAAAAGATCATAAGAACAACCAAAGAACTTAAGACTTAAGAATATGTAAAAAAATGTTTTGAGAAATAAATTAGTTCCTTTCATGTTTATACTTTTTATATAATGTGCAGAGTTTTAGGGAAATTAATTTAATTTCTTTCAAGACTTATACTGTGCAGAATTTTTCCATGAAAACTTTTCAATGATCTTTTGAGAGTAAAGGTAGTAGTCCACTCATTTCACCCTTGGCTCGACGACTTAACTAAACCCTTGACTCCGACGTCTGGCCATAAAAAACACTTCCAAAGTGCAGCAGCAACAAAAGCAACTGAAACAAGACTTTAAGACCGAGCAAGTGTTAATTTGTGGCCACATCAACCCGAGCTCTTGTTGAACCCGACAACCCTGAAAACAGCCCTCCAGCAAGTGCAACACGAAAATAAACCAGCAAAAAAAATTAAGAGATTAATTCGAGACAAGCAAATGCAAAATTTGAACCATAAACAAGTCAGGAGAGCTCGTCACAAGACAGGGAATGCGATAAACCAGCGGAAGGAAAACGAAATTCAGGAGCAAAAGGGGAGATACACTCAAAGAAAGTGAGGGACTTGGATGTACATTAACACCGAAAACTTCCATACAAATTTTGAAATAAAAAATTTTACATAATATGAAGAATCGATTACCTACATTATAATGTCTCAAAAAATAATTTAATTAAAGTTAGAAGCAAACACCATTCCATAAAATGTATATTGCATTGCATTACAATATTTTTTAATTAGAATGAATCACTCGTGTTACAATATATTCTTCTTTTTTTTTATTAAAAAAAAATAAAAAATGTAAACCAAAAAAAAAAAACGAAAAAACAATTTATATTTAAATGTAAAATATATAAGTGCAATAAAGTTGTAGGAGATACAAGTTTTACATCTTGTATTTGTAATCCATTATTACTTGCCCTTTTTTTAAATTTTCAAACATAAACTGTATTTAGATTAATTTATAAGAAAGTTAAACAAATAAGCAAAAAGATATATAGTGATTTTTTTAATCCAGTTATTCCCAATTTTTCTTTGAAGTGCTATATTAAAGGAAAATTGCAGCACCCAATTTAAACGGGTTCAAAAGAAAACGACACGCGAAATGATATTTCATCTGACATTATCTAAACACCTCGCCTTGCGTTCTTGCCGGAGTCTTGGGGCAATTAGGCCTGCAATAACTCGGCAAAACAAAACTTGAACTTCAGCCTGCCGCCGGCACCTTGAGAGCCTTATTTCCAGTGGAAAAAAATGTATATCTGGTAATTGCCAGCCTCAACTGCATTACTCATGCGCCGCGTTGTCGCTTTTGTGGCTGCCGAGTGGCTGAGTGGCGAGTGTAGATAGTAGAGTATAGAGTATATGCGGTTAGCCTTAGGCCTCGGATCGAGAAAAACTAATGCTCGACGGGTGACATTGTAAGAAAATGCAGTTGCACTTGATGCTGCCAACTAAAGATGCGAGTCGCGTTGCGATGACATGAGAGGAAAACGTTTAGCTGAATGGCATCAAATGCATTTTGTTTCGCGGCTAAGATTTCCAGTTCACCATGAAACGGGACGCAGCTGGCCGAGAGACTCATGGTCGCGTTTTTGAACTATTTTAGCCAAGAGCTGGAGCGAACGGGCCGAAAACCCGTTGTGCAACATTTGGTGGCCGCCGCTTTTGGCCAGACGGATGACGGCGGCCAACCTTGACCCGGTTCTACTTCTAGCTGGGAACCTGGCTTCTAACCTCCATTGAAGCTTGACTACTGGCCTTTTGGACAGACAGACTGAGAACCTAATTAGCATTTCCGCACGTTTCGCTCTAGTTGCTGTCAGTTTTGGGATTTCCACGGAGGCGAAAGAGAGAAAGAGCGACTGTTGCTCCTCGGGGAAACCTAATTAAAAGTGCTCCTTGAACTCGCCGCCCGAAAGGCTTCAACACGGATTAATGCCTCCGGTTGCCAGCTTCGCGTTAACACTTTAAGTCCTCCATCAGCAAGTCAGGGAAATAACGAGGCCAGCCAGCAGGAGTTTGCCATCAAGATGCTAAAGTTTTCAATTAGACAATTTTCTCATTTACATTTCAAATGGATTTTGCGGCGCCACTTGCGCCCGTTTGCCTCTATCTTAATTGGTTTTTATGGCAGCGTTTTGGCCAAGCAATGAATATTCTTGCTGCTGCTCACCCATTATACCATTCGGTTGGTTAAATACACAAGAGTTAAAGAGTGGCTATGTAAAGTGTCAAGAGAGCTCACGATTTAAGCCCAACAGTGATTAATTTATTCTTAAAGGGGGAAGTTTGCATGTATGCATGTTAAATTACAATAAGCAATTAAAGGTTTATCAAGGTATATTTTTTACTCATGTGCGATTCGAATGAAATAAAAACAATTCTTCCGTTTTTAAATAAATGTGTGGCAAATTAAAAATAACTACTTGTCGGCTGAAATAAGTTTTATATACAATTTTGCCTAAGTAAATACAATAAACTGTCAAAAATTGTACGTTTTTTGGCCTTTTAACCCTAAACCATCCCCTGTTTGAATGTTGCACAACCAACTGTTGCCAGTCACCTGAAAATCGTTGCCATGGCGCTTGACGAAAAACAAATAAAGGTCACCATGGAAATCCCGGCAAGCAACCATAACAAAGGGCTTCCGAGTGTATTTTTTCATTAACTAACGAAGCGTTCAGGCAAAATGTTGCATCAGGGAATTATTCTGCGGGAAGGACATGTCACCAGGACAATATACAATCTGGTAATCAGAAACTTAATTATAAATAAAGTATACAAGCTAAGGGTGGAGTGCTCCAGATCAAAGACAAGCGCTACGAGGATGTGATCGAGTGTATAACCAACTTTGGTGAGGCGGCCAACACGAGGGCGGGTTTATCCACCCTGGGACACTGCTACTACCACGCCCAGAAGTACGAGGAGGCGGCCACCTGCTACGAGCAGCTCTGCCAGCTGGCTCCGAAGGAAGCCAAGTACAGGTGGGTTTCAAATAATATGAAGTTCTTCCTAATAAGTATTTTGTGAGAAACAGCGAAATATCTGTCCAAAGCATACAAATTTCCTGAAGTAAACATATAGTATGTATAGTCTTTTTGAGGTGACCCAAGTTATCGGTTGTATTTAGATCTTCTGTGGAATGAAGGGTTGTGTTTTTGTGTAATAAATAATATAACAAAAAGTGTTGTGTTGCCAAAGATGAATTTTTCCGTTTAAAATACGGACAACCCAATGTATTTGAATACACTTCTTGAATAAAGGAGCCTAACTATTTGTTAAAATCTTTAACAAAAGACTTTTTCCTATTCCGCGATTTTGTGATGTATTAGATTTTTAATAAAATTAGTAACTTAATTTAGCGTTATAAAAATTAGTCCAACAAACGAGTTCTCTATAAAAAATGAAATTCTTAATGATATATGTATGTAAATATATATAATATTTAAAGTTTTATAACTATTTCCCTTTATATTCACCAGCCAAAGATATTGTAGAAATAATAGTGATCTAATAAAAAAAAAAATATATATATTTAATTTTATAAAAAAGATCAGTAAATTTAGTCAGCTCCTCACATTTTTGTTGTTTAGTTGCCATATTATCCGTTCAAATAATCTAAGAAATAGTATGTGCGTTCAGTATGAAATGTTTTATAAATATCTTATCCTGAAAATCCCTTTCAGGTTTTACTACGCACAGTCGCTTTACCAGGCTGGAATCTTTCCCGAGGCTCTGCGAGTCCTCAAGCAAATAGGGGATCAGGAGGATGAGCTGCGGGAACATTGCCTCCAGCTGCAGAGTGCGATCCTGTACTCCAGCGAGGATTTCGCGGGGGCACAGAGCTTGCTGAATCAGCGGGCAGGAGGCACTGCAGATACCCTAAACGACGAGGGATGTCTGCTATTCCAGGCGGATCAGCACGAGGCGGCGGTGCAGCGATTCCAGGCGGCCCTCCAAGTGGGTGGCTTCAATCCACTGGTGGCCTACAACGTGGCCTTGGCCCACTTCCAACGGAAGCAGCGAGCTCAGGCCTTGGACTACACCTCAGAGATTGTGGAGAGGGGGATGAGGAATCATCCGGAGCTGGGAATCGGTGCCCAGGTGGATATTCCCGACGGCGGAGCAAGGAGCGTGGGAAACTCCATCACCATGGCGATTTCGGGCATCACTCAAGCTCTCAACTTGAAGGCAGCTCTGGAGTATCAAGATGGCAACGAGGAGGCAGCCAGGGATGCCCTTTTGGACCTTCCGCCTCGGGCTGAAAGCGAGCTGGATCCGGTTACCCTGCATAATATGGCTTTAACCGATGTCCAAGGACCAGTGGCAGGACTCAGGAAACTTGCTTTCCTTCTGGAGCTCGGAGCTCCTTCTTGTCCCAAGGAAACCTTTGCCAACATTCTGCTGATCTGCTGCAAACACGAACTATACGAAACTGCTGCGGATATTCTGGCAGAGCACACGGATCTCACCTACAAGTATCTTTCGCAGTATCTCTATGAGCTTTTGGATGCCTTGATAACCGCACAAACTAGTGCCGAATTGGCTGAGAAGAAACTGGGTACTTTGGCCTCCAGTTTGGCTGGTAAACTGCGAAGCTTGGCTGCGAAAGTCCAGGAGGTGAGGGCCACCAACGAACAGCAGGCACTCAGGGATGCCCTCAAGGATTACGAACAGGCACTGGAGCTGTGAGTTTTACTTTTCTTAATTATCACGGGGAAAGAGAAAGGGATAACCTTGTTTGAGAAATTTATATTATTGAAACATTGCACATTATTATTCGTTTTATTATTATTAGTATTGTTTACCATTTTGGGAGATTACTGTTTACTTCTTTAATTTTGGAACTATTAATTATTTGAGCTTTTACTTTACTTCTTTTATTATCTAAAAAGGTGTCCCTATTTTTATCCGTAACACTTTTACCAATTTTAAGTGTTATAACGTTTTTATCTTATATTTTTTACTTAGAGCCTATATTAAACCTTAACCACTTCTAAAATTTCTTTCACTAATCATAATAATATGAAGTTCATGCTTATTTACTTGCCGACTAGACTCTTAAAAGAATAATTCTTAAACCAGTTTAAAACTTAGTAAAGTTGCAATTTAACTTCTTGCAGATTATTGTATTATGTTTATTAAAGCATTTTAGTAATCTATTAACAATAACAAGTTTAATTCAATGAAAACTTCCTGAGTTGTGGCAAGACAAAGTGAAAACATTCATTATTATTCAATTAAAACACCATTATAATTTCTTCGAAACACTCTAGCTATCTGCCAGTGGTGATGGCTCGAGCATGGATATCCTGGCGAGATGACGACTTCGTGGGCGCCGAAAGGGAATTCCACTCGAGTGCAGAGTTCTGTTCGGAGAACTCCATTTGGCGATTGAACGCAGGACATGTGCTCTTCATGCAGGGCGACAAGTACAACGAGGCAGCCGCCTTTTACGAGCCCATTGTGCGCCAGCACTCGGATGATGTGAGATTAAACCGTTCTGGCCATTCCCATCGCCACAGCTATTTCCAATTTGAATGTCCGGTATTCGAAGACAGAAGGGGTGTAATATACGTATGAGAGACAGACAAGTGGTTACAACAAAGCCTTGGGAAGTAGTTCTGTCCGTACGAAGGAAATATTGTTCCCAGGGATTTTACTTATCCATTCATAGATACTCAACTTCAAGAATTTTTAAAAAGAAGCAAAATAATTTTAATGAGGCATCAATTAATTTTAATAACAGTTTTTGTCGATATAAATTTTAAGCTAAGTTTTCTAGATCTAATATATGAATTTGTTACATTTTGGAATTTGTGCAACGTTTACGGTTATGGTAATTACGGATCGTATAAATATAATACTTATTTTTTGAATCCAGTTCAATGAATCTAGCCTAACCATAAAATCCAATCTTTCTGTACTTTGAATACTAGGCATCAAATGGTCGGTACAATCGACCAAACCAATTCTGATAGTTCCCCGTTTTAATCAGCAATCCCTTGTGTCGAACAGATCATGTCCGTGTCGGCGGCGGTGCTGGCCAACCTGTGCGTCTCCTACATCATGACATTCCAGAACGAGGAGGCCGAGGAGCTGATGCGCAAGGTGGAGAAGGCCGAGGAGCTGAAGGGCAATCTGGGCAAGCAGTACCACCATTTGTGCATCGTGAACCTGGTGGTGGGCACCCTCTACTGCGCCAAGTCCAACTACGAGTTCGGTCTATCCCGCATTGCTCATGCTTTGGAGGGGGGATCGGGTAACCGGCTGTATGCCGACACCTGGCTGCACGTGAAGCGCTGCATCCTGGGGCTCCTCACCGGGATGGCCAAGCAGAACATCATCCTGCCATATGCCACCGTGCAGGAGGTGCTCAACTTCCTGCGATTCTGCGAGGCCTACGGGCTCTTTACGCCGGCCAACATTTTTTCGGCCACAGAACAGGTGCCCGAGGAGCCTCTGACCATCGGACTGGAATCCCGCAAGCTCAGGCTACTCATGATAAAGCTCAGCGAGTATGACAATTTTTAGGGTCCCAATGAATTAAAGGTTAAAGGTGAACAGGGAATTATCTCATATTCACATAACTTAAACGTTTATATGGATTTGCTTATAAGAAAAAATGATAAAGCAATAGCAAGTCTGTACAAAATATTTTATAAACATTTTACTAACTTAAAAAAAAATTGTACTTGATTCAATCCAGTACATATGTAATTCCTTAAAATGTAATACTTTTTGCAGGTTATTTTTATAATAAATAGTTTAAAAAAAAATTTAAGATATATAAGCCACTACAATTTATCTTCATTTATTTTTTAGTTAATCAAAGATTTTTATAAATTACTGTTGTCAAAATGTGATGGTCCTAAAGTGGCATTCGAGAAGAAAAGGCCTCAACAAAAATAGCCCAAGGGATCAACTCGTCTTGCCTCTGTGACAGCTGCGGATTCCACTAAGGACTTCACTCTAGACAATGTGAGTAGGCAAAATACGGTGGGTAATAAATATAAATTACAGCGGAAAGAGCAGAAATCTGTCATAAATCACATTAATGGCAGATTTTCATCAGGCAGGTTAGCGCAACCAGGAAGTGGATTGTATGCCAATCTATTGACAAAGAACCCAGCAGCACGTGCTAACCGGGGTGAACTGCCTGCCTGCCTGCCCATTTATCCGGGCTTCCACATCCCATCCCATACCATCTCATCACATCCCATCCCCTCAAGCGTTCTGCTCCACGAGCACGTGAGCACTCACGCGTTCGATTTGACAACGTGTTTATGTCGCAGCTCAATTCCGCATTGACAGCCTCATCGACATCATCATCATCGGCATTATCATCATCATCGCTGTCATCAATGCGACAACGAAATGGAAAAAATAAATATCACACCCGACTAGGAGGTACTTCGTCTTTTTAAGATCGATTTGATAACTTTAAGGGTAGTTTTAAGCTTTTGATAAATCCTGTTGTTTAGCTCCTTAAAACTATCACGAATGGAAAAAAATTAATTTAATAGAAAAAATAATGGAATTAAAATCCACCAATAATTTTAAGATTTTATTAATCCAGGGATAAATTACATTTTTGGGATATAAAAAAAGTATTTGTTGATTTACCTGACATAGTATGCAATTATTTAAATAAGTTTCTTACAAATGAACCAGAATTTCAATCATTTATTTATTTCATATATTGTATTAAATCTGGTATAGATTTATTTATTTGTACCTGCATTTTTAGGGATACAATATACCCTTTTTCCGTATGAGGTACACAAATGCGAAAAAATCCTAACAAGCACTTTAAGCTGCTACTGGCTCCTGTGGCATGCCCATCCGCATCCCCACTCCGTCATCTTCCCCATCTAGATCAGCATCCTCCTCCCCTTTTCCCTTCCCCTCCTCATTTCCCACACCCCATCACCATCAGCATTGATGTTGTCATTATACTCATCGACATCCTCCTTGTCATTACGGAACGCATACGAAAAAAAAAAGAGAGGAGGAACATACACAACATGAAAACACTTGTCATTAACACAAACAGACTGAAACACTCGCCCTTACACAGACACGCGAAAAACTCACACTTTCACAAACACATTGACACAGACTTTGGCGCTGAAGAATGGCGCCTGCATCGCTCTCCAAAGAAAGATAGTAACACCTTTTTGCCACGGAATTTGGTTATACCCTGTCGAAAAAAGAGTCTGTTAGATCCAAGCGATAGGAAAATAATCCATATAAAAATTATATCGTTACATTTTGGGTGGCTTAATTCGCACTTAGAAATTATGAAGTGTTTTTTTATGGTGATGATACATTTAGGATGAACGACTTGTAATATTTATTAGAAAACAACCTAGTAGGAATTCCTCGATCTAAGAATTAATTAGGAAGTTCTTAAAAAAGAATAATTACTCATATAGAAACTAAGTTGGTAAGTAGTATTTTTATAAATTAAACATTAAATATCCAAACTTCCATTATTTCAGAATATATCCAGCATAATTTAATTGAATTCATATTACATATACAAATCTTTGTAAATATGGTAGGCAACTGCTAAAGTTAATGACTTTTGTTTGGACTTTCATTATATAAAATAACATTTTCTTTCCCCAAGAGTATATCGGTGTCGATTAACGAAAGCAAGTAAATGAAACTTGGGGCAACTTTTTTTTAACTCTCTTATTTTTTTCCCCGTTGCCGTCAAGTGTTGCTCATTTTGTTTTACTTTATCATGTTTGTTGCCCGTTGCTTGTTAGGCGCCTTTGTTGTTGCCTCCTGCCAGCTCTTTGGTTCGTCCTTAATCCTGCCTCTGTTTCTGCCCAATTCCATTTCAGGCTGTCTCCAGTAAATTGTGCATTTCAACTTTGCCTTAACACTTCTTAACCCCCTTCCCAGTTCTCCCTCTTTGCTCGCCGAGCAACGTGTCGATTGTTAATATGCCTTTCAAGTCGTCTCCTTTTCGAGTGCCATGCAAAAGTTAAGTTGGACTTTTTTGGCTGGGACCCGGCAACTCTAACTAAGTTGTGCCTGCCACTCAAACTGATTTTCCAGGCCATTTAAAGCAGCAAACACGGAGACTCACAAGCACATAAATATGTATTTTTCTAAATGTCCTGGACAAAGGTTTCAGTGCAGTCCCCGACTTTGCTTTTTTGATCCTGTCTCTGACATTGTGTGGGTTCAAAAAATAATAATAAAGGACAGCTGACTGTGGCGAAACGAAATTGAAATGTCCTTCGGTTTTTAAAAAGAAAGACAGGAAGAGGTAAAAAGGTCTTCCAAAGTAAAATAGTTGGAAATGAAAAACTAGAGGAAAATAGATTGTAATTTTTTCTAAGCTGAAACTTAACTTGTTTTTACTATTTTTTTTTTAAGGCCATAACCTTTTTTTTGTTTTAAAACCTAACCAATTTAAAATAACCGTTTAAAGGGTATAAAGCTATTTTATAAACCCCATTCAAGTCAAAAATCAATAAGGCTTTGTGAGTGTTCCCGTTGTGATTTTTGTTTTTTTGTTTTTGTTGACCGTCGGCATTTGGCGGGGGCAATTGTTGCATGTCAATGTGAGTGTGTGTGTGTGTGTGTTTGTGACCGCTTAACTGTAAACGAGAAAATAACTCAGGCGGCGGTTGGAAAATCCCAGCAATGTAAACGGGAAAAAAATTGAAAAAAAGAGCAGGATGGCTGGTATTTTCAAGAGGAAATCAAATATTTGCATGTTTTGGGGGACTGCCAATAGACAAAAGGGAAATTTTGCAATATGCATGTTGTAAAATTTAAAATAATCAAATGCTTGATCACATCTTTATACAACCAAAAATACATTTTATAATTTGGCTTACTTACTTTATTAATATTATAAGTGATTCAATGTTTTTAGTTTTTCACATTTATAACATTTAAATATACGATGAATATAGAGTCAAACAACTTAAAGAAAATTTGGTTACCATAAACAATTTTATTTACTTTGCTTATGCACTTTTCTTTTGGCCAAAGCACTTTTATAAATTACACATGAGCCATGCAATTCCTACAAAAGTCTCACATCTTCGCTTGCAATGCATTTTGTTACTCATTCATGGATTCTTTCGAGGCATCCTCTCCAGTTTGTCAACAAATTCACCCGAAATTTTGCCCCGTGGCTGTGAAGAACTGGTGAGCACAATAAATCAAGCTTTGATTGCTTTTATCGACAGAATAGCAACACAAACTCAGACACAGGCGAATAGAAATAGTAAATCACTTTGCGCTATGGTCCGAGCAACAAATAATACTTTCGATCCGTACGAGTACTTTCTCACACACACACTGATACACACACACAAGGCCAGTGGCATTGAAAAATTGTTACGAATTCAGTTGAATTGCAAAAGGAAATTGTCAAGGCGTGTTTGGGGTTTCGACTAAAATGTTGTTACATCCATTACGTATACGCAGCGTAGACAGAAGTGCCAGAGAATAAAATGCGGGAAGTGGAGAGGCGAAATCAAATATCAAATAATTGTTGGCCATTTTGAATGGCTGCCAAAAACGCTGCGTTGGTCATTCCTTTACAAACAGACAAAAGAAATTAAGGAGTTGAATTGCAAGCACTTTTAATGGTTTCAACGCTCTGGCTTTGGCCATGAAATGCAATCTCTGGACCATTTGTTTTAGTTAATTTGGAAACTTTCTAGAGCAACAACCCTTGTCATTGGTATTTCCATTAATCAAGGGCTTATTTGGAGGCCAAACCCGAAGAAGGGTCAATGCTGGCGTGTATTTTTCCAACCATGATTGATGCAACAATGTCATTCAGGGATTGTTCGTTGGCTTCAAAAGCTCATAGAAAACCATTTTCGCTTGGGCACAATTCGCTAAAGAAAAGTCCAGACAGCCAGAGCCCTGAATAGAATGCTTCTCAGGGGAGTATTAAAATTTTCTGCACCATTTGCCTGAACTGCTGAGCTGTCAGGACATTCAGGATAAGGAGCTAAGTTAGAGCCTCTAACAGCGGCCAATAACCCTAACAGTTCGATGGTCTCGGTTTTAACAGACTTTCGTGGCAGTAAAAGAGTATGAGGACGCTTTTAAGCTTAAGAGCATTTTTTAACAGGAATAAAAGGATGTTATCGTTATGGTAAACTATTAAATATCTATGCGATTACTGGGTGTATGAAACGCGTTTGGCAGTTTGCATTTTAGTATTATTTGCCTCGAGAAGCTAATTAAATGGCGTAAGAAAAAACTATTTTCATTTTTGCATTCATTTTGAACTATTTAGTAAAGAAAATTAAATTTACATGTCTACGTTGTTGTCAACAAAAATTGTTGATAAAAGCTCAACAAATCTGATTTAAAAATAGCAGTGCTAAATATAGTCATAATTATCACTAGCTTCCCCTCCTAAAACCTTATATATAATCATATTTTAAAGCTCTTATCACTCAGTTTTGTTAACTTTCCACAACCAAAAAAATGTAGATGACGGAAACTAAAAAAATTATAATTATATTAACTCTAAAAATAAAGCAGACATAATTTAGTGTTTTTATAGTTCATTCTATGAGGCTGATAAGGTTTTCAGACGATTTAGGAGCTTAACATTATCTGCGATTTTAAGAGATTCAAAGACGAGCAGCTTCACTTTTCTGTTAACAAAAACCGAAAGAGAAGAG